GTTTTTGTGACCTTCTTAGTTCTAGAGAATACTTCTTATTCCCCTTTTTCCTCCTCCTGGTGCAACACACCCAGCACTGTCTCACCTGCAGAGCCAAGCAGCGAGCATCACTGCTCTGAAGTGCAGCTCTCATGTCCTCGATCAGCTCCCTCAAACTTGCATTCTCGTCCTCCAGTTTGCTTATCCGGTCCTCGGCCTCCTCCAGAGCCACTATCTCCTCGTAGCACTCCTTGGTGCAGGAGCCGACCCTGCAGCCGGAGGCGTGCCGCCCGTCCTCGGAGGGACAGGAGCCGCTCGCACCCACGGACAGCAGCTTCTCTCGCCGCTTCAGGGGGCTCCTGAGGCGGATCTGAGTCTCGATATGCTCGCTGTCCTTCCCGACCAGCAGCCGGCCGTTCTCGTACTGACACCCGGCCTTGGTGCTGAAGTATCCGCACAGTTTGGCGTGGAAGTGTCTGAAGCTGAGCTCGTTGGGTAAACTGTCCAAAACTCCGGCGCACTCCGAGTCCTCCGAGTCTTTGTTCAGTCCCAGAAGCTCACACAGGATGTTGAAGTCCTCCACGGGGATCCTGCCTCCACCCTGATAGTCCATATGATGGAAGATCTCCTGCAGGTACTGATCCAGGCCGGTGGCCAGCACGATGATCTCGTTCTCCACTCCCCGGTCCAGTCCGTAATGGTAAGCCAGGGTGCTGACTATCCATTGCGTCCTGCGCGCCGGGCGGCTGTACGGGTCACTGGAGTCTGTTGCATCCATCATTTCCACCGGGCAACATCATATTTCCACAAACCTCCAGGAGCGTCAGTTGTCACAGCATCCCGAGTGCGTGTCCCGCTCCTCTCTGCTCCTCTCTGCTGCAGCTCTCAATCTGCACACTGGAGGAGCCGAACGGAGGAGGCGTGTGTTAAAGCAGATTTGAATGTTGCACTGCCCCCAAAATCCAAAAGCAGGGGTCCCACTGAGTCAGTAACACACACACACACACACACACACACACACACACACACACACACACACACACACACACANCACACACACACACACACACACACACACACACACACACACACACACACACACACACACACACACACACACACACACCATGTAACGGTCCCATACTGCCTGAGTATAACTACAACCAGGTGTACAAACTGGTGTCATTCACTGGGGTCTGACCTGATGCCCAAGAGCCTAATAGGCTGTGCAGCTTTGTGTTTTTGGACTTTTTTTTTACACCAGAGTCCTTATGAAGGAGTAAAAGGCCTTTTCATACATTACGCAACATGCTTTGTCCCTGATGTAACATTCAGAGTGGACATCTTAAACACATGGAAAAGCACAGGTGCCACTAACAATGGCTCTGTTCACTACAAGTGTCCCAGTGAGGGTGAGGCAGCATGAAAAATACCAGGACCCTGAAACTGAAGCAGCTAAATGGAATCCAGCCACCATTCATTTTACTATTTACACCTGCGGCTTCCCGCTGTGACTGAATACGACCTGTGAGCTCGTTTGTCTTCACCACCAGCTTCTGAGTGTGATGTTCATCTAAACTGAACACATGGCCCATAAATTATCCAGGTCTCTCCCAGTGTTTATTGCACATACAGTGCATTTCTCATTCTGCTTTATAACCAATTTGTCTGTGTAGATGTTTGTTTATAGCTGTAAAAGACTTATGTTTTCTTCATGTTGTTATTATTGAGAATTTATTTGAAGAGTCAGCTCCCAATAAATCATGCGTATTAGTTATTATTATTTTATTTAACATTTGTTATTACTGTCAGTTGTTGCAGATTATTGGGCTATCAGTGCAAAATGTCAAATATTCTCTCACTGTATAGCATTTTCATTCAGCCAAAGTTCCAATTTCTATAGCTTAAACCACAAAAATAATATTAAATCAATAAATCCACATGCCTTCAGAGTTAAATTGGTATAATGCTGGTTGTAATGAATCGCTGACTCTTCTTCTGTTTATTATACTAAGAAAATGTGTGGCAGCAGAACATTTAGGGCGTATTATGGAAATGAATCAAACAATATCATTCAGGCTTAGCTGTGAACATCACATGTCTGTAATCTCTTACAGGCAACTTATAAAGTATATCATGAATATATGAATTTCATAGTTGCATGTACATGTATCGTACATGTCACTCAGGTATTAAACTAAACTGTTCAATAATCTGTCCATGCAATTTTAATATCAGGTATGCGCAATAATTTAATACCGTATATTTTATGTTTACATTGTACATTACATTACTTTCTGTTTTTATAATTCTGTGTTTCTATTGTATTTTTTTGTATATTTATTACTTTTAAGTGCATTTCCCTTTTGTTGTTGATGTGACATAGGACATTTCCTCACAGTGGGACTAATAAAGGACAATCTTATCTAACTTATTTTATCTTACACTATATGGACAAAAGTATTGGGCGACACTTCTTAATCATCAAATTCAAGTGTTTCATTCAGTCCCATTGCCATTGATTGGACTAGGCCCATTAGTTCCTGTGACGGAAAATCTTCATGCTTTAGCCTATCAAGATATTTTGGTCAATACTATTCTATTCTCCATATTTATAACTATGGATATAGAATGAGATGTCATAGAAGCTCCTGCAGGTGTAATGTGTCCATGCAGTGTCTCTTATCTTCTCTGGATTTTCTCCTCTTAAGCCAGGTGTGTCTGCTGTTTTGCTTTTTTTTTTTTCATCAGTCTATAGTTGAATTTTACATTCATGCAAATGTTATACAGCCATAAACAGTCCCAGCAGCAGCAGCAGCAGCACGTGAGGGCAGCGCCACTGCTCACTTCCTGGACTACAGTCGTTACCATAGCGACGCTAGTTGCGCTGAGAAATCCTAAACTGTGGCGGAAAGTTTCAACACTTCACTCCAGCACATGTCATCCAGAGAAAAGAGTCAGTGACATGAAGAGTTTGACTGACTCAGTGTATTTCTATATGAACTCTTCAAGAAGACAGCACTTTACGTCATATTCAACCTGAAGTCTGCAGCTCGGGAACAACAACATGAGCTGAGAACACGAGGGAAAAAAACCTTCAGGTAAAGTCTCATTTAAATATGGAATCATTGATATTAATGATAAAACATACTGCTATGTTTCTATTAAAGCTTCAGGTGACTGTTCCAAAAACGGAATAATTTAATCAGTCTGAATATTATTTTGGGGTATATTTCAAATTCAAATTTTCCTTTATTTATTTATTTTCTTCATTTAATTTCCCAGTCAGAACACACAGAAAACTTTGCTCAAACAGAAAACGCATTTCTCCCCATAGAGTACAGCTGTGTGTGTGTGTGTGTGTGTGTGTGTGTGTGTGTGTGTGTGTGTCCTCCAGTCAGCGTGTACACACAGACGCATGGGAATGATAATTGTAAGTTTTGGGCCTGGCATGAATTAAGAATGTTAACTCATATAACTGTGATATTCAATGTATTTTTATTTCCCTAGCACAAGACAGTAAGAACGGTGTGGGTCTGGGTTCTATTGTAATGAATTAAAGGTAAGGCACAATCGTGTGACAGTTTTATGAAACATTTTGATAACCTTCTTTAACAACCTTGTGATGTATGTCTGTTTTATAGGACTGTCATCAGGCAGGATATTGACTGTCACTGTTTTTTTTTCAGGATTGAGGTTTTATTTAGATTATTTATTGGGTACTGTGCAATCCTGGTATAATGGATAAAAGGGATAGTTCCACCCAGAAACGAAAATTCACTCAATATCTACTCACCCCTATGCCGATGGGGGAGTGGGTGAAGTGTTTGAGACCACAAAAAACTTTTGGTGTTTCAGGGGTAAACATTGTGGCAGCCAGATCAAACACAATTAAAGACATTAGTGACTTATCTTCAGACGTAATAAAACAACAGAAAAAAACCTAACATGCCTCCATACTGCTCGTGTGGTGTCATCCAAGTGTCATGTTATGTTTTTTCTGTTGTTTTATTATGTCTGCGGAAAGACTCACCATTGACTTCAATTTGAGTCGAAATGTTCTCTTCTTTGGCGCTCCTTTTTGCGGTCCTCACTGTGCTCACTTCCTACTGTACAGCATAAAGGTGTCTCCCTGTGTGAGCTACATCCCAACTAGGCTGACATTCAATGTTTTGTTTGATTATTGTTGACTGATATGTCCATGACTTTTTCATGATTTAGTGCTTGCTTAGCCAAAAAAATCAACCCCTTCATTGCCGGTATCCACACAAAAGTAGTCACAACATTCACTGCTTTAAATCTACACAGAGTCTGAAACATCTCATCAACCAAATCTTTTGCACTGCCAGATGAAAATGACTCCAACGACATCAATGCCAAGCACAAATCCATACACTAATTAACCCTCCTGATCTTCAACTCCTCTGCCCACTGCAATGCCGGCAAAATCACCACCAAAACCAAACCTGCTTCCCCAGAAAGCAGAAATCATCACAGAGGGGAAAAGCCAGGACGGCGCCTCCATCCACAGCACAGCAGAAACACAATTCCCCCGACTTAATGACATGTCCATGGCCACTTCAACACTACTCCACGCAAGGCACTGCCTGCCAGCCCCCACGCTCTCCCAACATTCTTCTTCTTCTTCTTTCTTCTTCCTCTTCTTCTTCTTCTTCTTCTTCTTCTACTTCTTCTTCTTTTTCATTGTTCAGTTTATTGGCAGGTGGCAACCAACATCAAGGTGCATTACCGCCATCTACTGTGTCTTCTTCTTAGTCTTCTTCATGCTTTGCCACAATTTGTATTTGAACCATGCAGTCTATGATTTGAAAAATAGCCTGTGGAGTCTTTTTTGTTAGGATTCTTTGACATCATTGGATGGGTTATCCTTTGATGTAGAACTGTAGAACAAGATTACTTTTGATTACTGAGAAGCTATAGGTTATTGGTGGGTAGACTATGCCTGTATTGCTAATGGTCAACACCTAAAACATGTTTTAAAAAGTTGTGCAAGCTCAAACTTAGAAACTCTGCTGTGGTGCTACCAAAACAACTCCTGTGTCTGCTCTTCAAGTTGAGGTGGGTTAAATACATTTGTATCTTAGGTGGAAACATTGATGATGAAATACTGGGCAAATCATCAGGGGGCATTCTGACAACAAAAGTACTTCTTCCATGCTGGGAGAATGAAGGGGCCAAGAGGGTGTTTTACATGGAGCAGTTCAGTCAGTAAAGTTTGATTTGGTTTATTGGCGGTTGGCAACCAACGTCAGAAAAGCCAGAAAAGTTATACCCCTATTGTACCGTTGTCAGTAACACCACCCTGGCTGTTCCCCTCAGTGTCTACTGATTTCCACTATCTGGAAAACAGGCAAGGAAATAAAAATTGTGGCAATATAGCAGTTTTGGTGGAAGATAGATTGGAAAAAACAGGAAGAACAGGTTTTTGTTTCAGTATAACAGACTTGACATTTCAGTGAACCAGGGGATCATCTACTGTTTACACGGAAGAGATTATCGCAGTTGTGACAGCACTACAGTGGATAGAAGAGTTACAGGTTGTTTTGTTTACAGATTTGTGCTCAGTATTAATGTCCTTGAAAGTCTTTTTCATCTAAAAGTAGGCAATATTTTGTTTATATTAGACCCTCTAAAGATGTATATTGTGATTTATGTGGATACTGGCACACAGAGGAATAAAGGGCAATGAAGGGGTGGATTTATTGGCTAAGCAAGTACTAAAGAAAGTCAGCATAGCGGGGATGTAGCTCACCCAGGAAGTAAGCACAGTGAGAACTTCAAAAAGTAGCAAGAAAAAGGAGATCCAACAGGATTCTGTGATTACTACCTAATGTGGAGCATGTAATGCTAATAAGTATGTTAGAGAACGAGAAAAGCTAAAGAGTGAAAATAGTGAAGTATGGAGAAGAAGAACTGAGCTTGGAAAAAGTATTTACCATTGGAATAGGGAGTATGCTCCATTATCTGAAAGAGACAGTATTGAACAAAATAAGTTAATATGACCTAGTCTTGTCTGTTTACATCAACGACTACTGAAGTTGTGTGTGGTTTTCGCGACGACCGCTGATGATGTAATGGCTTCTTGAAGGGCTGTCCCAATTAGTAGGGGGAGATTTCAACCACTACCCCTTGTTACTCTGTTTCAAGGGGCAAGATAACCCTCGAAGAAAAACAAAGGGTAGGGGTAGGGCAAAGAGGTGAAATGGGATTGGGCCTTTGATAGCTCTGATTCACACTCCAACACAGTATGTTGGCACCTGCCACTAGACCGAACAATCAAATATAAAACGTACAGCACAGGCTGAGCAAGGAAAAGTAAGCAGATCCAGTAGATGGTAGTAAAGCACCTTGACGTTGGTGGCAACCTGCCAATAAATTGAACATTAGAAGAAGAACAAGGTTATTTTTACGACGTTAAAAACTCTAAAGAATATCTTATGTCTCTATACTGTTTCTATAATACATTAATTTAACACCCTATTTCATCACTGAAAAAAAAGAAAATCCGGTTGAACATGTTCCAGACCCATTTAAACCGATACTGCATTAATAGTACTTCAAATTAATAAATTATTGTCAAATATCTTAAATTAATAGTGGCTTTTGAATTTAGAAATGTTAGTTGCTGAGTTATGAAACTCTTTTTTTCCTTTTACAGTGTTTTTAATGTAAAATATCACAATGGAATCCGATCTCATGGCCAACATGGAGAAAGATGTTTGCAGTTCACAGCCAGACTGTGAAGAAGTTTCAGTAAAAGAACAGGAAGGTTTGTCATCCATGGATCAGCGGTTGGGAAATAGGTCAAGTTCAAGTGAGGATGTCGCATTACAGAGAGATGGCTGCTCATATTACACCACATGGACAGTTAACATTGCTCTTGCTGTTCCAAGAGGTGAGTTTTTCGCACAAAAGCATCTGAAACATTAACATTAGCTCAAGTGCTCAAACTGCTCAACGTGCTCTTACTGAAAGTTGTAAGATGAATTGATGTGGGATTTGCAGTGTGCTGAAGTGTGCTACAGTCTACCGTGACAAACAACAAATGTATTTCTTCATTTGTCTCATTCACAAACACTTGTCTCTGTTTAGAGGAAGAAGCTGCAGTTCCTACAAAGACCAAGAAAACAGAAAGAAAATGCTCATCTGCCGTTTCAGTGAAAGCCCACAAAGCTCAGAGCTGCTATCATATTGAATACAAGCTGTTGCCAGGGGACACAGAGACCACCAAATTGGACCTAGTAGTGTTTGGCCCAGGAGCAAAACTGTACAAAGATGATGAGTCCAAGGTAACTTTGCATGTGTCTTTGTTTTTCGGTATGTGTGTCCTGAATGAAGAATTCATGATCATCCTGAATGTAAGGAGCCACGTCAGCTGTAGTTACAGTAACAGGAATTATTACTGTTATCTTCTCTGGTAGCAAACACACTTGACCCTGCTACATCCCACTGCTGAATAACATTTAGACGAATGCCTTGAGGGTAACAAGTAAATGTATGAAATTTGAAACAGATTCTGATAACCTGGTATGAAGGAGATCAGATATGGGTCAGTTGGAGCCACAGTTTCAACATCAGAGTCAACAGGGACGCGTTGATCAGTCTTCTTCCTTATAAGATCCCTGTGAAGATATGGAACGCTATGTACAGACTGTCCAGCTTTCAGGCCCGCTCTGAGAGTCAGAAATTATTTAGATTTCCAAAGGGTTGGCCTGAGGATGCATCAGACACATGTGGTAAGCATGACTTTCAACTTGCCAAACCTTAAATGTATATTGTGTTTTATTTTTATGTTTTTATTGAAATCTATGTTGTATTCTACTTTCTAAGATGACATCAAGACCATGGTATCCCAGCTGACACCTAAAAAAAAAATTGGCGATATATGGTTGGATTCAAATTTGGATGTGGGCTTGGAAAAAGGTAAATTGACTTTTGCAACCAGATCTTTTGCAACTTTTAATTCAGAATAAACTGCCCTCACCATGATATTTTGTAACCATTTTGAACAGAAAAGAAGTCGGCTCTACAAGCCACACCAAGTTTTCAAAAACACAATACTGATGCTTGTGACCTTGGGGAGATGGGAAACAGCGGCGCAACATCAGTTGAAGTCAGTCCCCTTCGGTTTCTGGCAGGTGAGTCAACTTTTTTCAATTTTTTCATAAAAAAACATTAAAACAGTGGTTTCCAAACTCCTAGACATGTGACCCCTTTAAACAAAGCAACGTGTTGCAACCCCTCATTATCACTTTCATATGTCTCCTGGTTATAGTCAGTTTAACTTCAGAGTCACTTCTTAAGGTGAAACTCCCCCCCACACATTGTTTACATGCTAAAAACATGCTTTGGGGGGATAAGGGTGTAAAGTAATTGAATTATAGTCATAGGATGGCCAAATGCATTTGTCTTGTGATTCCAAGACTGTTATTCTCTGTTGGATAAAAGGGAAAAAGGCATTTAAATAAGACATGGAGTATACCAATGTTATCTCACCAGTATAAATTGTCAAGTGTGCAGGATTACAAATGGTACTTGGAGGTTTTCCATATTTGCCGCCTGTGCACTGTCACTTTCATTTTCTGTGTTGCTCCTCAACTTTCAATATTTAAATATGAAGATACATTTTACAACAAAGGGAACAAAATATTTAGACCTCATTTGGAGACAAATCTTTAAAAATATTTGACTGAAAGGTAAAATGTGAACGTTGGAGGATAAATCACTATCAAAGTCATGATGCTGTGGAGATTTGGAATATCTTTGCCAATTTCCAAAGAATTCCAAACATTTGCCATGGATATTGAAAACTGGTATTTCAATTTGGCCCAAGTAGAGAACCATACTCTGTTACGACCTACCATAAATAAACAATGCCAAAGAAGACCGAAAGTCTTGAAATATCCGGCACTGTTTCCTTTATAGTTTGTTTTTTCTCTGGGTGCCAGGTGAGACCTCAGTGACTGAACGCTTCCAAGTTTGCTCATCTGGTTTATGTGAGGTCATGTGCAGCATCTCCCTGGACGGACCTCTATTATCCAACCAACTTAAAGCTGAACTCAATCCAATGGTCATCACCATTTTGTCAGCCACCTCAATGCCTTCATCCCCAGTCCCTCTCCATGTCCTACAGGTGGGATTTGTATTGAATTACATTTTTGTCATATATATTTATTTCTCATTCATTGTTTAGCTTTTCTGATGAGAGGCAATTTGCTTTACAATCTTTAACATTGAGAACAGTGATTTGATAGAAGTCGATATGTGGTTCATTCCTTCTCCTAGGAAAAGTGCATGCCTGTCTATTGCCAGTATAAGTTCCATAACTTGAGCATGCACAGAACAAACTATCACAAGCATGAGACTAACATCTACTTCAGAGATGTGAATGTGATCCTGACTGGCTTGATGAATCCACAAGAGCTCCAAGACTTCTTTGCCACTCCGTCTCTGCAGATAGAGGTTCATGATCGTGACAGGAAGGTGGAGGAAAGACCAAAACCAGTAACGTGTGACACAGAGTCAGACGATGACATGCACAGCAATGCATCACTGTTTGATCATAATTTTCACACCTATGGCATCGCAAACCTAAACCTGTCTGAGTTGCTGCTTGGGAAGAAAAGTCTAAAGGTGGACTTACCAATCAAATGTGGCCCTCTGCCTCCAAAGCTGGACAGAAAGAGAAGTAGAAGGAACAGCAAGATGACAGATACAGCTGCCAGCAGAGATCCCATGCCACAGGCTGATTACTATGATGTTAATTCTCAACTCAAGGTCAAAGTTGAGATGGCTTGCCCACTGACGACGGATGATGGCATGGAGTTCTACAGTGGTCCATTTAGCCGTATTGTATACCTCTTTGATTACAACAACTTCTCAGTTATTATTAAGCTGAGATCAGAGATCCTCAGAATCAATGCATCGGCCTTCCATCTGGACTCACTCTCATTGGAAAGTAGAGGGAGAGCTCTATCAAATAAGGAAGGCCCAATGAATTTAAAGCATGATGAGAGCACAGATCTGGATTTTGTTACAGGATTTCATGTGCAAGATAAGAGGAAACACATCTTAGTTCTTGAAGGGCTGAAACATAAAGCAGTGAGGAGACTTTGGGAGGCTGTTCCTATGAAGTAAGACCATGAACACTATCTTGCCCTTACAGCTTGTGTTAACAATTTTCAGCTGTGCTGTCCATTAGGACTGACTGTTTAAATTCCATTCTGAGACCTTCAGTTTGTGTGGTGTTTTGTAGGTTAAGTGGGACTGAAGCGGAGCAGGTGATCGTCCTCTATAATTCAAACCTGTGTTTCTTCAAGCGCATCTATGACTCATTAGATGTGAGTTTAAGTCCCATCCAGCTACGTGAGTCACTGCAGAGCATCATGATACAGCCTCTGATCTACATTAGGGGAAAGTTACCCCAACCCTGCTTCCAGGCTTTGTCAAGGTACTCATGAGATTATGATTACATTTCAGGACCATGCCAGTGATTATTATACATCGTTTAGTACAAGTCAAGAATATTAAAATAAGAAAAGGATTGTCAATTGAATTGGCCCCATGATGGCAGCAGGATAAGCTGTAGAAACAACACAGACATAGTATAGTATAGTCCATAGACATAATATTGATTGATAGAATTTAAGATTAAACCTTTGACCTTTGAGTTGAGATTGTTTTGGTTTATTAACAGCAGATATTTGAGAATGGTTGTAAAATAAACATCGGCACACAATATACTATACTATATTAGGCTATACTATACTATACTATGCTATACTATCATACTATATTATAACAACACAGCTAGTTAACCTTGGATCGAAACCATCATAAAACCCTTGGGCAGCTAAAACTTGTATCCTTTGAGCTCTTGTTTGTATCTATTGGTTGGAAGAACACACATGCGTATATGCTTGCATAAAATGTATGATCAATTACATAACATTATTATTTCATTATAATTTTTTCTAGGTTAAGCCAGCTGTGTCAAGTAAGGCACCTCAAAGATGCGGTACAGTACGACCTCTTCCCCTCAGCTGACATGATTGTCAGCATGAGCAGGGAATATGGCACATCTGCTGAGCAGTGGGAGCAACAAGCCAGTGCATACACTATGATGGACTTGCCCACTCACCCTGTCAGGATGAAAACACATGCGGCTCTCGACGCATGCAACAGAGAATATATCAGATGGAAACACAACAGGCAACAGACGCCAGCCGAGCCCTCCAGGGACTTTATCCAGGTCTGCAGGCCTCAGTAGAGTAAATAGAGCAGAATGTGATTCATCAACAGAGTTACTCAAGTGTTTAAATTTATTCCAGGAAAATATTCAAAGTGTGCAAGACCAAAGTGAGCAGTTGCAGAAGCCACAGGCTGCTGCATTAACGTTGGATCTGGCTGCAACCATGCCAGTACACAACTACAGCATCCAGACCTTCAATTCAAATGTGCAAGCCAGGGAGCTGCTCCTCAGAGAGCTGGCTAAGGTATAGTAAGAAAATATCTACAGTACTGTTTTATACATTTACAGTGCATCTCAGTATATCACAGTATTTCTTGGTGTAAAACTTAAAAAAGAGGTTTAATTTCTTGTATGTTCCTGTTAAAGTTTTCTTCAACTCACAAAATCTACACAAACCTTGTAAAGTGGATATCATAACGGTGTTTAGTCGCATTCACGACAAATCAAGAATAATTTACAAGACAGTGAATTTCTTTGCAAACAACTATGGACTGTAATAGATTTGCTTATTGGTTAACATCCATAAGCAGTGAAAGAAAAGAGTGAAGACATTACAGTCAGCGTACCTTTAAACTATACACTATATAAATCAGCTGATTATGTGTAATGTGGAAGAGTCAATGTGCAAGCAACACATGGGGAATTATCAACTGCTTCTGCAGTTCCCTCAGCTTTACAGGAGACTGTTTGCATCATTCAACTCAATATTTTTGTTTCACAGCCTGCAAATGAATTCTGATACTTGTAGCTAACTAGCTTAGCTGTGATTTACATAGTGGATCTGATAGGCGCTTAAGAGTCAAGCTATTTGCCTGAAGACAGATCAAAACAGAGCCTAAGGGGGGAAAAAAACCCCACCTCAAATGAGTGATACTGCTGATTTGTACCTGCTGGATGTGTAAATATGCAAATGCTTGCTAAAATGTTAATTATGACAAATTATTTATAACTGGTTCAACTGTACTCATGTGGTCAAAATCAGTTACTGCTGCTTTTAACTGCAATACCACACTATGATTATGTAACATAAGTATGAATGAGAACAGGAGAGTCCACTAATACAGCACATGTTTGGGTCAGATGTAAATGGATGGAACCCAGTGCTTTCCTGCCTAAAGGAAGGATGGATACATCCAATAAACTCAGCCTGTATTCATAAATTGTCAAATAGAAAGTAAACATTTGTATATGAACAATAATTTAAGTGAAGGAGACAGGGTTTATGACATGTATTGCAATCAGCCACACCTCCCTTTTGGGGAGATGTCATGTTGTCCATCTTCATATACAGACTATGGCTGGGACGCACAAAAAAATCAACTAACATGTTTTTCTCTGGTGATGACTTCAGGTGCCGGGCCGAAGGTTTACCTACAGTCTGGGGTATCACAGTGCTACAGTGGAAACTGGAGACACGACTCCTAAAAATGACTCTGGCTCTGCTGCTGCCTCTACGGCCTGGTTGACAAATCTGAGCGGGGACAGGTCCAGGGTGCACCCCAGACATCCAGATGAGGCTCGTGTGGAAGAGCTGAGGAAGGTGATGTCACTCTTCATCATCCAGCAGTGTGGGGTTTCACAGGAACAGGAATGCTCAGTTTATTGACATTCGCATGAAATTCACCAGAGATACAATTTCTTCACTGTTTACCTACTTGTCCTTCTTTCTCTGTGACCAGTATGTTTAGGCCAGGATAGAATAGCATATAACATGACATGACTAACCGTATTAGCTTCAGCTGTCCTGCCCCTGAAATAATTCATTGTCCTAGTGGCAGTTAAAATATCATTGAAAAAGAATTTGAAGCATCCGAATAGTCTCAGGAGGTGTCAAGTGATAGTGTATGTTTTTACTAGAGCGTTACATTGATAATACTGTCCACTGTGTTTCCAGCCGTGGATAGAGAACATCCTTCATGCCAACACACTGAAGCCGATACTTTCACGGGACAGATGGGTGTGGAGCCAGCGCCATGAGGACTTTCAGCTCTACAGCAAACCTCCAGCAGTGGTGCCTCTAGAAATCTTTCACAGGGGTGGCAAGATGGGGCCACTGAAGATTTTGGGACAGCAAAAGCCTTAACTGAATTTCAGGAATTCTATTACGCTGTTGTAATATATAGGCTAATTGGAAACTATGGCAAAGAGTTAAGGAATCACCTACTGATATACTGTATTGGTTTCTTATGATACATTAAACTAATCTGATGTGATTGGACTAATAATAGTAGAGTTAACATTTTGAGTTCCACAAATAGGCTTGTTGTCTTGTACCGTAAAAAACAATTATACAGTAGAGAGTAGAGTACATTTATTGCAAGGAACAAAACATTTACTGGAAACAAGCCGACTCAAGTTTAAAAACTCCAATTATGTTCAATACAGCTTATGTTCAATACAGCTATATTTGACTGTTGCTGCAGAGTTTTGTAAACGAATAATATGTTATATACAGTATACACAAAAAAGCATTACCATGGCAAATGTACATTTTTATCCCTTTATAAATGTAATTTCTTTTATCTCATTGTTTTTGCCTGCTTGCAGATGAAAACAGGAATACTCATACCTTCATCAGGCTAAGATACAGTTTTATTTGCCTGTTGCTGTGTTTTTTGGCAAACACATCCACAAAATCATCAAGATTTAAGGCCCTAGCCTTTCTCGACTCTACACCCCCAAATTGCCCAATCGCTTGTCAGTATTTCTCAAGACTGTCTCGATTAACTATAGCGCAGATGGGCTCACATGGTCCAGGATCAGTTTGAACAGCTGCTTTTGCTGAGTCATGCCTCACTTCTGTGACCATTGTTGCCTATTCCTGGTCCGCTGCTGTCTGATGTCCCTCATTGTCATTGTGCTTTGTTTCTGATGCGGTCTGTGCATGTGCATCCTTGTCACGCTCTGCCTGTTCCTCTGCATCCTCCTCCTCCTCACTCACCCTCAGCTGCTGCTCCCCAGTCGGCTCTGTCTCTACTCTTCTAATTTCCTTCTTAAAATAAGAAGATATGTCTGTGGACTTTCTCTTCATTGTCTGCAAATTGTCATAACGCAGCACAATGACTAATCATAGAGAGCAAGCCAACTCTATCTTTAACATAAGTTCACAGTGCACTAAGGGAAAGTAATAGTAGTCCGTACAGCTATCTCTGCTTGAGTACTTAGTATAACTTTGACAACAACAAAACGACTGCAAGTTACGCCAGGCGTCTTAGTTAAATCAAATCAAATTTTATTTGTACAGCCCAAATTCACAAAACACATTTAGCCTCAGAGGGCTTTACAATCTGTACAGGGAGTGACACCCTCTGTCCTTAGACCCTCGGCTCGAGTGAGGAACAACTTGCCCACAAAAAAACCCTTTGAACAGGGAAAAGAAGGTGGAAGAAACCTCAGGGAGCCACAGAGGAGGGATCCCTCTCCCAGGATGGACAGACATGCAATGGATGTCACGTGTACAGAACAAAGCAACAGAAACATATTGTACAATTACAATGAAAGACAATGATGACAGTAGCAGTGGTTAGCAGTGGTGGTATTATATATAGTGGTGGGTTATAACAATGCTACAATAGTATACAAGTTAATATTAATCACAGAATTATGAATAATAATAACAACAAGAGTGGATGTCAGGCAGGGCCATGGCGGTAGTGGCAACCACGATCCATGACCTAGGAGCAGCCATGATCCATGAGAACCTGCTGGACGAGAGAGCACAGAAACTCCGGGGAAGAAGTTTAGTTAGTAACATGCATTAATGAGACATGTATGTTTAGAGATGGGGATGATAATAGAGAGAGAGAGAGAGAGAGAGAGAGAGAGGGGGGGGGGGGGGGTCCCCCGGCAGTCTAGTCCTATAGCAGCATAACTAAGGGATTACCTCAGCCAGCCCTAACTATAAGCTCTATCAAAAAGGAAAGTTTAAGTCTACTCTAAGAAGTGTTGACCGTGTCTGCCTCCCGAACCCAAAAAGGTAGTTAAGATGTGTAATAGTGTTACTTCAAAAAATACCAACATATAAGCTCACTCACACACAAGCTCCCTGAAGAGGTTAAGATGTGAAATATATGAGAATATACATCTTAATCAGTTTTAGCTAACCTGAGATCAAAGTTGAGGTTTACAGAACACTGTGGAATACTGTGACCTTACATTACCAGTCCAGCATACCAGCACCATAACTCACTTTGACACGTCAAAAAACAAGGCAAAAAGTCTATATACCAGCACCAGCTAACACTGGCTAGGTAACGCAATATGACATGTCAATCAACCCCCCCCTTGGTTTTACTTAAGAATGACTAACTTACCCACTAATAGTCTGAAGTCCAGGCTTGGTATCAGTCAGTTTACAAAGAGAAATCCATCAATGGAGAGGGAGAGAAATGTATCCACTAACAGCTGCCTCAATATAACAGAAAGTCGTGAGCCACATGGTGTTACTTACTGCAGGCCACATGACAGAAGCATGGCTGCAAAAACCAAGTGCCAAATTTACCCGAGAATTACACTTGAATAAATGTATTACGTTAAAATAAAGTGGCAAGATGCTGATTTACTTCCAATTTAATTAAGTCCTAAAGGTAAACCACAGATTTTATTACCTTACTTCAGTATCAATGGATGATACTGTAGAACCCAGCAGGTTGTCAGACAAAAATAAAAGGCAGCAAATGGAGCTAGTTAACGAAAACCACAACACAGCATTTAAAAAAGATTTTAATCTTTCACAGCAGAGTGCAACATCTTTATCTTATTTTCAAAACTCGATTCTCCTTTTAGCCCTGTGTCATGGAAGTATTTTTCTTTGGTGCAGTGCTCCATCAGGCTAAGAAAGGACAAATCCTACGCTTTTCTTTCAAACGCCATGATCAAAAACATTCATTTATATAACAGCTGCTTATGAAAAAATAATCTTGACTAAGAGGATGTTATGTCTGGTTATATGTGATTTGTTAGATATGGTTATTTGCGTTTTCTCAGTTGGTTTGATAGTTATTAATATATTCACTGCCCCATCACAAAACACATATTAACACAATACAATTGAAGCAGTAAGGTAATAAGACTGAAAATCATCAGGCAGGACAAGATATTAACTGAGGCTAAAGCTTAGACAAGTCGTGACAGCTTATCTTCAGCTGTGACAAACTAAGCTAAGCGCATGGTAGTCCCCAGTGGATGCTGTTGGTACATGATCGATACAAACTGCTTGTGTGGAATTTCATTTTCATTTGTGAGAAACCTAAGCCCGTCTGACACAAATGTCGAGCTACTACCACGAATGCACTGAATATTCCAGTTCAGCAGCATCCAAGAGGAGATTTTTTCCTACAACAGTCTGGGCTGTAAACTTTTCAAAGGTTATATTGATCTGTTTTGATTGAAGCTCCAGATGGAGGATATTTGAGAGAGTATCAGTCACACTCCCACACCACACTGGAGAAAACATTTCAACAGGGAAGAACCTCCAACTGAATTATCTGTAAATAATGTGTCCTGTTGTGTCTGCCCAACCTTCCACTGCAGTAAAATCATTCTCAGGCCTGTTGAGTTCATTAGTTCTAAGAACATTTCAGTATAAACTCGATTTAGTTCTTTAATCCATGGATGTGCTGTTGCTCCTCAGGAGAGTCTCTTAAAGCAGCCAGAGCTCAGTTGAGTCGCTGGCTGAGGAAGCTGCGATCCTGGCAGAGGCACACCAGACAGCGGCCCCGTCCCAGAATTCAATTGTCACATGGGAGGAAACTCGGAGAAAATTCAGGATATACAGAAAGATGAGCCTATGAAGTATTCACTGAGAAAAGCAGGCCAGATGGTGACGGTGAAGTATTAGGGAGTTTTAGATAAAGCAGATGGCACGATGAACACCAACTACAAGTCCCAGGACCATTAGGACAACAGCTCATTTTCTAATGTGTTAGTCTGTCTTAATTATTTGAAATGCTGTCTATGTAAAATGATATCTAGAAATCTGTAGGTTATTCAGTTTTGCCCATATTCAGGAATAGGTCGCACGGTTGAGGGATTTTAATGAGGTGACATTTTCTTGGATAAGACCAAACTTGCTTTGGACAGTAAAATATTCTGAGATGGAAAACTTCAGACCAGTTTTTCTGTTATTTAAAAAAAAAGAACAGCAATGCAAATCATTCAGGGAATTTTTATTATATAGTTAATATAACTAGTTCAGGTGAAGAGAAGGTAAAGTGGTGATTTAACTCAAGGGTCCTGCTCTTAGCTCATCGATCCAGTGATATCTATGGATTCTGTAAGGATGTCAATTAGGTCTCTACTTCTATAACTTTAAGGCTCTTTATGGAAAACAGTCCAGGAGTCAAAATGTGCCGTGTTCTTCATCATTTCACTGTTATGCTGATATGATACATATTTCTACATTAGTGTTTAGTAAGTGTTTAATTTAACTACCACACAGGAAATCTGAGGTCTGGCTGTATTCATGTGTATAAAAACTGGAGCCACTGCAGGGAAAGTGGAAAGTTTGGGGGTGTGATAGGGAACCTCAGCAGCTGAATTTTGCCTGTAGTGGGTTAATCTATATATCAATAAACATTGTGTTTTTGTTTGTCCAAGATTTTAAAAGATTTATTCTGCGCAATAACAGATTTTTGTCACGTGAACACAGAATTGACATATTTCAATGCTGTGTACACGAATATCATACCTGGAGTGACTATAACTGTTTATTTATAGATCAGACAGCTGTGACACAATTTCGTAGTCGTGTTTTGTGCTAGAATCTCTTTTAGCTCTGTTTGAGGTCTTTACCAACTGCTGAGGGAGGCATGTGCTCTTCAGCAGCTCAATGCTTCACCATGTCCACCAGCTAACTGTTGTTTAGTGCTGAGCAGGAAGCGTACCGAGGATTTTTAGAACAGACATCACAGAAGCGGTTGTCCGCTGCGACTGAAAATGACTGAGTTGACTACAGCTGACAAACGTTGTTTGCTGGACCGCTAATCAATGAGCTGAGCCTCACTGTAAAGCTCCATCAAGCAGAAGGGATGTGGGTAAAATGTTTTTTTTAAGCTGTTATTATAAAAACATCAATAAGAACTGCTTTGTTGTCTGTTTTTCACAATGCTTGCCAACATGTTTATAATTTCTGGTTCTGGTTGCAGTTGACTGATTGAAATCCTTTTAGTTGTTGAGCCAACAGATGTTTTTTTGTGTGTTGCAGCCTTTGTCTCAAGTGTCTGTGATGAACATTGTTGATGACCAAGCCGAGGCTCTGGCCCCAGGCCCCTGTATGGGCTGCAGCCTCAGCAGCAAGAACAACGCCGTCCCCAGACACACCTCTCATGCAGACGTGAACCTCCACATTTCAGTTCAAGTTGGAACTTTTACACTCCACAAGTGCTAAAGAAAAAATGTAAATGTTTCTGTCTTAATGTGGTATGTTGTGTTGCTTCTTACAGTGGTGGTGGAGAAGAGTATCTTCACTTTTCAAAAGTACGAACTGAACATAAAGACACACTTGAGCCCTCCATCAGTTCAGGGACACGTCTGAAGCTGGAAGCCCCAAAAACTGGACATTGCAAGCGGAATAGGCTGAGAAGCATTAAAACTACTGTGTTATACAATGATTGATTGTAGCTGTAGAGTTAAAGATCACTTGAGATAGAAATTAATAAAATGCCACACAAACAGATGTGAAGTTTTGTATTTGAAGTCATGGTTAATAAGAAAAGGTAAATATTAACATACATCTCTTAATTTAATGTCAGAAGTCTAAGAAAATAAAATAAGGATTAATGCAGGAGTAAATGCAAATCACTGTCTGTGACTTGACCCTCCCTTATTGTCCAATCAAGTGTCGTGGCCACATGGGAGAGCTCAATATGTTCTCTCAAGAGGATGAGAGCAGATGTACGCTCTGTTCTCCAACACGTCCCTGGCGATCTTCTTGATGTTGGCATCGTTGTTCTCGGGAGAGTCTAGGACAAATTGAGATATTAATTACAAGCTGCTTTTTCCTTTGTTAAACACAAAATACAACATTCTCATTTTTCTGGACAATGTCACAACATAACTTTCATACAGGTCATTAAAAAACAATGCACACAGTGTGACAATGAAAAGCAGCGGGGGCTTTTTGAGTGTTGGTATGTGGGGTTCGGTGGGGAAATTCCGCAACACATGCAAGTCTTTTCTGCAGAAACGCAGTAAAAAGAAAAAAGCATGGGGCTGTTCTCAATTACCATTTAGTGTTGTACTTACGCTTTTGCAACTGAGTCATCATGTAATTGTTCTTGAAGAAAGCGTCGCTGCAGAAAGTGTTTGTGAGCAACACCTAGAAAAATGAAGAACACAGGCGTTCATCAAAGCCTGCAGACAAAAAGCTCGGCGGAGAAACGACAGAACGAAATGACAACAAAATATCAAGCAGCCAGTTCAAAGGATTAACTGCAACCAAATGTGAAGAAAGACGATTGTAAACATTTGTTGCTGCCTCTATTTTTATCTGCAAATACACCCCGACACAGTAATTGGAAACATTACGCACAATTTCATCAATAAGACGTGTTTTATAAAAAAAAACATCAGCAATTTCACCATTGAAGTAAATCAACTTCAACAAGTACAGAAAAGAGTTTTGTCGTGACAGTGGAACTAAACCAGATTAACTAATTGACTGAAGACTTGGTTTTGATTTCGTCTTTCTTTGTGAACCTGAGGCCAAACAATTCAGTCCTAAAAAAGGAACACGATTAGATGTCTCAGTGTGTGTGTGTGTGTGT